TCAGCATGCTCGATTACCCCCCTGTGCCAACTCCCAGCCCCGTAGCTCAAACTTTGCAAAAAATTGATAAAATCGATAAAAGTAATGGACGATCTTGAAAACTAATATTGTATTCGTAATCTGCATGCTCGATTACCCCCCTGTGCAAACTCCCAGCCCCGCAGGTCAAACTTTACAAAAAAATCGATAAAATCGATAAAAGTAATGCACGATTTTGAAAACTAATGTTGTATTCGTAATCAGCATGCTCGATTACCCCCTTGTGCCAACTCTCAGCCCCGTAGCTCAAACTTTGCAAAAAATTGATAAAATCGATAAAAGTAATGGACGATCTTGAAAACTAATATTGTATTCGTAATCTGCATGCTCGATTACCCCCCTGTGCAAACTCCCAGCCCCGCAGGTCAAACTTTACAAAAAAAATCGATAAAATCGATAAAAGTAATGCACGATTTTGAAAACTAATGTTGTATTCGTAATCAGCATGCTCGATTACCCCCTTGTGCCAACTCCCAGCCCCGTAGCTCAAACTTTGCAAAAAATTGATAAAATCGATAAAAGTAATGGACGATCTTGAAAACTAATATTGTATTCGTAATCTGCATGCTCGATTACCCCCCTGTGCAAACTCCCAGCCCCGCAGGTCAAACTTTACAAAAAAAATCGATAAAATCGATAAAAGTAATGGACGATCCTGAAAACCAATATTGTATTCGGAATCCCCATGCTCGATTACCCCTGTGGTGGTTGTAGGCTTTATTGTAGCCTTAGGCGGATGAGTGGCGCCTGTTGTGGAGTATGGTAGCTCCCGGTGTTAATACAACACTAAGCTATTAGAGCTTTATTGAACAGACGACATGCACCCATTCGTGCAGTGGTAGAATGCTGAGGATTGAAGGCGTGGTAAAGTAGTACCACAAATATCTGGGCAATAATACACTCATATCGCAGCAGGTCATGCTTATGGCATGACCTTTACGTTGGATAAGAGAGTCAATGATAAGTCGCAAGGAAGGTGCCGGCAAAGTCGGCACACTCCGGCCAGCGAGGGAAATGGACAGAGCGAATGTACATTTCATAAACATAAATAACACGTAGATGTACAGAAATATTTGTCGGGATATTTTAGTGGACGTTCCTGAGCAGCTAGGCAGATAGGGTCGGAGTCCAGATTGATGTAGTCATGACAGCTGGCGTGAGATGATGAGGAAATAGACAGTGGTAAGGCAGAATATCGTCGATCATTATGACGCAGTCGACTTTCATTTTTGAGCGCCGGAAATACAGAGTAAGGATTATGAATTGGGAGCTTCTTACTGTTCGTAGGTTGTCGCTTCATAGTTTTGTGTCTTCCGAAAACACCATTGCATCCTCTAGACCGACGTTCTCCATCCATAATTGCTTGCGAGGTCAGTTTATCCTCTGCTGGTATGTTGCCATCCATGGCATCTCCGCGGGCCACAGTTGTGCAGTCTTCAGAATATTGACTGAGGCGATCTTCACTTTCGTCTTCTTCCATCGTCGCGGAATCCATCACGATTGCTAGAGCATCCGTTTCCCTTTCCGCATCACGTAAAAAATGGTTGAAAAGACTGGATTGCTGTTTATCAATTACTTGACTTGATGCAAAATTCTTGTATGTTTTTGCATATACTATCTGATATTGCACAGCGATAGCAAAAACATTAGCATCAGAGAGCAATTGGTGAAAGTCAAGCTCTTTTTCAAGCTCTTCTAACTGGAGTATTACAATTTTTCTCTCGTTTTTTGACTGCTTGAGATAAAATTCTCCAAACTGGTCGACTATTGAGTCCAAAATTGTCGATCTTGCTTTGATTTGTGATAGGCAAGAAAGGAGAGTACCTGAGCTTTCAAAACATTTCTTTTGAAGCTCTCTATCAATTTCTAAAGTGAACCTGAGCTTGAAATTGTAGGAATCAAATTTCTTAAGCAGGTTTGCTAGTGCTCTTGAATGAAATGAGATTGCCTCTTTGAAAAATTTCAGAGACATTTTGATGAAAAAATTCTCAAGAAAATATGGCTGTTTTTGAGCCGTTCGCTACTTTTTGAGCGAAAATTGGGATTATTTAGTCCCTGAGCGTGGTAGAGAATGGCTGTCGCAATTGTGAGGCAGCGGATTTTGGGCGCCAGGTCCCAAGGTTAGAATTGCTAACCTTTGTGCAGTCGCTGGGGCGAAGCACTTATCGGTCTTACGTATTTAGCCGATGCACCATAAATGTGGTGGTTGTAGGCTTTATTGTAGCCTTAGGCGGATGAGTGGCGCCTGTTGTGGAGTATGGCAGCTCCCGGTGTTAATACAACACTAAGCTATTAGAGCTTTATTGAACAGACGACATGCACCCATTCGTGCAGTGGTAGAATGCTGAGGATTGAAGGCGTGGTAAAGTAGTATCACAAATATCTGGGCAATAATACACTCATATCGCAGCAGGTCATGCTTATGGCATGACCTTTACGGTGGTTAAGAGAGTTAATGATAAGTCGCAAGGAAGGTGCCGGCAAAGTCGGCACAACCCCCCCCCCCCCCCCTCTGTGCCAACTCCTAGCCCTGTAGGTGAACTCTGCAAAAAAATCGATAAAAATCGGTAAAATCGACATCGATCGATAACGAAAAGTGGACTGTGACACCCGCCGGGGCCCGAAGTGTATGTGTGCCAAGTTTGGTCCGGATACGGCGGAGCCGGGTAAGCCAGCTAGTTACGAATATTTTTCTCAAAATTATCAAATACTTCTGATTTTATCGCTTTATTGCAAAGTTCGTGCTACGGGACTGGAAGGCACAGGGGGCCTGTGAGCATGCTGAATATTAACACAGCGGGAATAGGGAATTGATAGAATGTAGAAGGGGGAACAGGAAAAGTTTGTACAAGGATAGAGATGGACCTTTATTACAGTGTTTTGGCAGGGCCGAGCGGAGCCGGGAGAGCCTGCTAGTGGCTTATACACGCCAAAGTACAGTAACTTGAACAGTAACTACAGTAACTACTAACTCTCTCTACAGTAACTTGTGCTGGTGAGCTCAGCACAAGTTACTGTAGAGAGACGTTCTCGGCATGGACAATTCAAGAAGAGAAAGTGAAGTGAGACTACAACAATCGAGTCGATTCCTTCAAGTCCCAAGGGCAAAGCATACCATTTATAAAGCTGAATGCGCGTCTGCTTGGGAGTTGAATTTTGGACAAGAAAACAGAAAAGTGCCACAGCCGAATGCTCCGTGGAAAACATGGGAGGAGGAGGGGCAAAGTTGTGAAGCAGCGAGCGAAAAGTGGAGGTGTAGACGAGCAAAGCAGACAGCAAACGCGACAGGGGTTTGGCTTACACTGATAGCGGATTCTTGGCAAACTCCAACAAAATCACAGATCATTATGTTTATAATAGGATTACTGCAAGAGCTGAGAATGTCACCGTAATCGAAATGACTTCGACACACAGGTGCGATAAGGTGAGAATGACCCCTCCAGGGTGAAGGGGGTCACAGCGCTCGCAGCGGCAACAGCGCATATAGATGCCCTATATGGATCGTATTTAAGTGAGCAAGTTAGAATTTTTGTAGGATTTTTATAAACTGAGTTACGATTTTTACAATTTTTTGGGCGATTAAATCTTTTTAATTTTTTGGCTCGAAACTTGTGGTGGATCAAAGCTAAGCTGTTGCTAAAGTGAGACAGCCATCTTGTAGAGCTTGTTTTGCTATATCGAATGGTGTCTTGGAACCTACTCAGGAATGAGAAGTGTATGACTTATTGCGGTTAGAATTCAAAACCTGCATTAATTTCCGGACAATGTAATAGAAAGACGTCTACTTGAGCACTCCCATTATAAAACTCTCACCCACCCTTCACCCGGCACCTTTTCCAATAGACCCCAGGCAAACTATATATTTTCTGAAAGCGGAAGACGAGACGGTTCCAATAATGACCATCAGGGCGTACAAGGTGTTCATCTACAGTAGTTAAGGATTTTTTATTTTAAAAACTCGAAAATATCTAGAAATCACTGAGCACACCCTTCACCCATGCAGTTTTTTGGGCGGATTTGAGATACGCTGTATATCATTTGAAAACGGAGGACGAGGCGGTTTTAACGGTGACCATCTGGCCGTAAAAGATGTTCATCTGCGATATTTACGAATTTTTTACGGTGACCATCTGGCCGTAAAAGATGTTCATCTGCGATATTTACGAATTTTTTATGTCAAAAACTCGAAAATGTCCAGAAATCACTACTCACACCCGTCACCAAGCACTTTTTTCAACAGACTCCTCTTTTTCCATACATAACAATTCACGTACGAATACCTTCTTTGCTTAACCTTACCTCACTGTTGACTTTTTTTCTTAGTTTTTGGTGAAGGGGGTCACCTTGGTCCCGGCTCAGGGGTGAAAGGGGGGTGAGAAAATTATTGACCAAATCATTCTTTTTGGGTTTCTGAACTCGTGCCTAAATCCACAACTATGAGAAACGATGTTATTTAAAAGGAGAAACATTTTTGATGAGAACAGACTAAGCCCATTTTTGTATTTCCTTAGTTACCAATTTGATACACAAGTTACCGCATCGATTCACTTTCATTTTTGATGTAGGTGTGAGCTCAACATCTAGGCTCAGCGACTGTGCATTCCTAAGATGTAGAACCATGCAATTTGTTATGCAGCAGTATTCGCACCCCAAAGCTTGCAAATTCTTCGCCCCGAAAAAATTTAGGTAGGGACACAAGACGACATTAGAACCGTATTCATGACCAGTCTCTTGCTCCAACATGTGAACGTTAGTAATCAGGAGCAGTGTTGGCTGTTTTTAGAACAAGTTTTTTGTAAGTCAGTTCTTGTGAATTTCTTTTGCGTCTCGCTTAGAAATCATACAAACGGAAGTTCAAAGAACGAGACTTAGGGTGTAAAGTAGGTCAAGGCAGTGTATGCCGCCGTCATTATATTACAACAAGCAATTTGAAGAAGTTTGGATGGTTTAAAATCTACTCATTACGTAGAAAGATTTTTATTGCTTTCTCATACTCGTTTTACAAGCCTTCAACGTGCCTCTACGATTACAGACATTCCGTCATCTTCGTCTGTCGAGACTATTGTATTTGCTACTTGTGGAGTAGCTAAAAGAAACAGCTCACATATTATTGAAAATTCCAAAATATTCCACTCAGTCACTTTTGACTATAGCATTAACTCACTGGTAGTGGTAGTAGCGGGATCCTGATCACAAAGTCCGTAGGTTGTATCGCAATTTACATCTGTTCCTTTGATAACTTTCTTGCAGGGTCCAGGTTTTTGACATCCAGCATTATTTTTCGAATCTGCCCAGTAAAGCGGTTCCCCTTCCTTTGGCCTACAAAATCTCAATTTTTATGTATGTGTACACATGTAGTATTTGCTTTGTATCGTTTATCCTTGTTTTATGTTGTGTTTTCATCCCTAGTATCTTGTTATGTTGGATTCAAACTCTTTCCCGTGAATTTCCCGCCTGTTCTCATAGAGCTCTCCTAGGTGCCTGGTACCGAGTGGTACGTTTTCAGAGGCGTGTGTATATATATAGGTACCGTAGCCACTGGATTCATTCGCTATTCTGATCAGCTAATAAACTACTGAGTATTCCACTGCGTCCGGTTCGACCCATCAAGACAAGGACTACAACAATGTAATATGCTACAATAGTACTCTGCGTTGATACCACTGCTT